TCTTAGTGGTATATACATGTGTAGCGCCTGCATATCTTCGCCTGTTTGCTGTTGGCGGAAACGCAAACAGCGAAACCGACTTAATTACGAAAACTTTTATAAAGAATTTGGCGTACGTAATCATATAAGCCCTCTTTCGGAATGCTTTGCTCCCGCGATTAATTCTCTGATTCTGTAAAGACGCTGAAATTTTGGCACTCTGAATAAACCAAAATATTCCTGGAAAACTTAAAATTAAAAATATTTTTAAAAAGTTTTGACAGATTGTAATCGATTTAATCAACGCTTTGCCAGGCGACAGCTCTGTAAATACGGTACAACACGCAACAATAGAATAAGCTGAATTTTCCGTGTCCTCGGTGTCGTCAACCTACACTACTGAAAGCGTCATTATGTAATGTAGAAAGCCATATTGAGTTGTGTGTGCCCTCGTGTGCGGTCCTATTCTCTATGCTGGCGTCTGAGCTATATTCCGACCTGAATTTGTATCAGTAACGTTCAAAGCTAGTTCAAATACACTGCCTAACGAGGTAAGGCAGAGGACACAGTACAAATTGAAACCCTGCCCGTACCTCTGCAAAGCAGGAGAGCTGTATCTGGCGCATTAACGTGCGTTTACTGAGGTTTATTTGGTTCAACCACGAAAATTGCCTATTTGAGGACTGTCTCTGTCGTTACTGTAGAATCCACAGGCTGGAGAACTGCCGAAATAGTAGATGGCGCCCCCAGCGAACCCTTTGCTTTCAAGGCCTTAATATTGTCACAGACAACGTTCTTCAGTTTTTTTTGAGTCGTTGTTAGAAACACAAAATTTTTTAAAGAAAAATATTGTCACGTGTCTGGGGTTCCGTGACTAATAATAACGTACCTTGGATTGGGTGATTGGGTTTATTGCCACTTCTTTACAATTACAACTAATTATAACAGCCCATAATCAATGACTGCCTAAGACCCGCTCCATTCAAAGGTATATATGTTCCTACATTTTGTCGTTAATATATCATCTTTAAATTTCTTCGTTTGTGGCCTCAGTTACGTATCTATGAAATGAATATCATATTATTGTATTAAGTACCATACAGGCAGTGATTTGCTTTTCAACAAGGCACATTGGCAAAAAAAAAATAATATTAAATATATCGATTATATTGTCACATGTGCGGGGCTCCGTCACGAATATTGGATGATTGGATTTATTGACACTTCTACTACAATTACAACAGCTCACAATCGATGACTGTCTAAGACTCGCTCCATTCCTTAATGGACTACGAGTGTCTTCTCTTCTCCGTGACTGACTTGGTTCTGATTTACGAGTCAGTCACTTCTTCTGTTGTCCGCTGGTTGGCACTCCACAGCTGAACACTGAACACTCTCACGACTGAACTACGACTCTTCTGGGAATACCGAACGAAGAATTCCCTGCAACTGAATTTTCCTGAACTTAACTAACTTCCAAGCGGCCTCCGTAGTCTAGAGGTAACGTTCCCACCTCATGACTCGTGGTACGCGGGTTCACATACCCGGCAGAGGTCGTCGAATTTTTAAGGGCGGAAAAATTCAGGGAACAAGTCCTCCGGGAGGGACTTCAAGCTGTGTGTCCCGTGTCGTAACTTTACGGCACGTAAAAGAACCTCATATCCCCAAAGGGGATCACTGAGCCAAATTCCAGGACGTTTCCCGCCCAACAATAGTCTTTAAGACCTCTGATAGATGGGGGAAGCATTATAGATACCGCTAAGCAAGTGGCTGAACTCGCTTGCTCGGCGGGACTGATGGTACGCACCATTTATCGGTAGGGTATAGAGACTGGTAGAATATCATAGAGGGAAGCACAATAGATCAAACTGGTCGCGGTGCATGGGGAAACCCACCCTCTCTAACTAACTAACTAACTAACTAACTAACTAACTTCCATGCGAACCGAATATAGATCACTATCTCCAGCAATTCATGTATTGGTCTGTTGTATCCGTTGCTACCAGAATGTGTGTTTGGCGAGTCGTTGGCTAGCATTGGACTTGTTCGTTATTGTCGCTGGAACGTGTGTAACCGAACAGTTGCCTAACAATTGTCATATTCATCAAAGTATATACAGTAGATTAAAGATCTAATCTCGCAGGAAACACACTGAGTCTCCATTACAAAACCAAAAACGTTCATGTTGTTTATCTATCAGTTCCGCAATAATACGATGCCCATAACATGCAGATAAATGTAGAAAAAGGCAAATTTGTTCTTGTTCTTAATTAATTAATCACCACTCGTTGAAGACACTTGGTTAGTGGAGGTATAGCTCCATCATTCTTGGCCTTCGCACTTAATGAAGTGATTGGTCAGTTTCGCGTCATGGCTTCTTTACCCACGGTGAAATATCCCCCGGTATCCAATAGATAGGAGGTTGGTTGGACCGAGTAATCGGCCTGGACGCCATGAGGAACAGGAAAGACTTGCCCCTGCCAGGAATCAATCCCCGGCCTTTCAGCCCGTAGCCTGTCGCTGTACCAACAGATCTACTGCTGCTAACTTAGAGTCTGTGTAAGAAACACGAAGGATTTTGTTGCTCAGAGAAGTGGTACATATGGTAATCACCATTCCTTACAAGGGTTAATCTGAACCCCTTCCATAGTCTAGTTGCCAGGATTGATATGACTGAAATAAGGTGCTACTGAAATGCAATTTTTCCGAACCGTATCCAAAAATCCACTTATTAAGCAGTTTAGATAATGTAAAAATATATATGCCCCTTTAATGAAACACTTCCTATTATCACACTAAAGAAAGGCCTTTTGTACCTGATTGAAACAATATCACGTCGATATACTACCGACCATTCGGAAAGGTGACTGATTTTAATTAGAGCAACGAACACGAATTTGCATGTGATTTCAACAGAGCAAGCGATTGCTTGGCCGGTCACGGTAGCCGAGCGGTGTAAGGCATGTACTGTCTTCGCTCGCTCGGAAGCCGGGATCGTGGGTTCGGATCTGATTCCTGTGAGGTACGAACTGAATTCTTATATATTATTCTTATACACTGCCGGTCACGGTAGCCGAGCGGTCTAAGGCATGCACTGTCTTCGCTCGCTCGGAAGCTGGGATCATGGGTTCGAATCCCACTCAGGGCATGGTTGGTTGTATGTGTACAAGTAGAGGCCTTGCGACGAGCTGATCACCCGCCCAAGGAGTCCTACCGAATGTCTAAGATCTAGAAAAGCCGAAGTGAACGGGGAAGTTTCATGGAGGTAGGCCTACGCCCACTGGGGCTGTAGTGCCAAGGAAAAAAAATCTCGTAATTAATAAATCGGATTAGCGTAGATTGTAGCAGAAATGTTACTTGTGAAATTTTGCCTTGAAAAATAATTGAGTTCTCTTTATACTTCAATCGCCTATAGACGTACAGTATACTGACCCGCCGTACTAGTGTGGCAGAGAAGTTGCCGCAGAAGAACGGCGACATGTAAATAAACACTGCAACAACCCAGAAAAGGACTAACGAGATAATCAGCAGACCACCTAGTTAACTAAATAACCCGTTAGGTAGCTGATCACCTAACAAACTAGCTAACTACTACATATATACGCAACAGAATGAATAGGTAAATATATAAGTGAATGAATTAATAACCTCCTTACAGCAGTTAGCATTCATAATACAAATATTATGCTTCTGGACATTATCCAATCGTTCCGTTTTTATTTAAAACATGACGTTTCGGAGACTGGTAGCTGTACTAATTGAGCCAAACTGAATATGTTCTGCCTGAAGACAGGTATATGAAACCAGTCTCCTAACGGTTCTGTTTCAAATAAAAGCAGGACGATTTATAACGCCCGAAACATAATATTTGTATTACTGTGTACCATCGTCACAAATTTTAGATCTTGTTTACATTCAGAATATTTTACTAATTTATTAATTTGTCTTTAGTCAGAACTCTTTCAAATGCTGAAAGTAAATACAGCATCATCTAATAAATTGTAGAGTGAATAATAAGCTAGAAGAGGATTTGAAAGGAAGCGGCAATGGCAGTCTGTCTGTCTGTCTGTCTATCCGTCCGTCCGTCTGTCTATCTATCTATCTATATCTATGATTTCCCACAACTCTGGCATTTATTTGGAGAGACGGATTACACTGACACAGTGGCAGTGTAATCGATGTCCGGTCCAAGATTTGAAGCAGACAAGCAGACCGGAACGTAGCTCAATACTGTAGCGATATTCATACCGTACCGTCAGTGGGTTTCCTGGCGTACAAGAAGACCGCATGCTTAGTGAAGCCAGGGTAAGAGAAAGGTAGCTTATCTATGGTCATTTCAGACATTGATGGTGGCTCACTCCCATGTTCATTTTGCTCTTGGGCGTTTGCATTGTGTGGATATGGACAGTTGCAGACGATTAGAAGGTATATACTGCCTTCGTTGTCAGGGTAGTACACTAGGTGGCCATTAAAATGGCCGTGTCTCATAAATTTCCTTGTCCACTGTTCCTGTTAGTCCATTCACGGCACAAGTTCCACTCTACCCCTCCCCAAGTTAGTGTGTTGGGGCAAATCCTATAAATACATGAATACTTATTCATCTTCCTCGTTTCGAACTAGAAGTTGGAGGCAGCGTGTGTTTCCGAAACGTCGGCAACGCTTCCACATGCGCACATTTCGATGACTCGAGAATGGATACAGCGATACTGTACAGAGAGATTGTAAATTATTGTAGGAGTTTCCGTGGCATGTAGACGGAAACCCCGACGGTATTTTAGAATCACCCTAGAAATATTATGTTTTGGACATTATCTGTCTTCTTGTCTTTATCTAAAAACCGTCCTGTTTATTTTCCAAAACACAATGGTTTTTAGATAAATACAAGACAATGGACAGTATCGAAAAACATAATAATTGTACTAATATACCATTGTCAAACACTGTTAGATCTTATTTAGAATCACCCTGTATATAGCCTGTGGAAACGATTGTGCTTCATGAAGTTATTGTTGTAATTGCAGGCTGTGTCAGTATTTGTGAGTGCATACACCTTAGTGGCCATCAGTGTGGATCGCTACATGGCCATCATGTGGCCACTGAAACCCCGAATTAGCAAGCGACATGCCAAGCTGACTATCGGAGTAGTATGGATCGTGGCGCTGGGGACAGCACTGCCCATCCTGTTGCTCTCGAGCCTGAGCCAGCCGAATCCTTGGTACGAAGAGTGCGGGAGGTTTGTGTGCGAGGAAAAGTGGGACAACGCTCAATACCGCTACTGCTACACGTGAGTCTAACATCACTACTCATCGAGGATTGATTATAAGATGTATTTCAAATTTGAGGCCCACAAAACAGTGACTGTGCATTTTCATTATATTATGACGTGTAGACACATTGCTAGGCAACGGCTCAGTATACGCGTTCCAGCGAACACGCAATAATAGGAGCCGTCCTCTCTGTGGACCAAGCTACAACTCATTGTTAGGTAACATAATACTTAATAAGCGAATACAGTGTTTTCTATGGTGTCCGACCTGAGGTTATATAAAGAGAGAGTGATTGTAGTTAGGGGGACGTCCGTGTGGAAGCGGGTTAGAATATCTCCACCGTGACCCTGCGAGTCGTAGGAGGTGACGAAAAGGGAAGTCACATTCCAAGAATATTCCTGGTACTCATTTCTGTTAGAGACTGAGTCGACCCCAGGGCCATAGTGCGGCTGGAAGGATTAGGTAAATTGAAAGAAATCCTTCAGGCTTGTAGCGTAGTGGCTCAACCAACTACGCTACCGCCTGGTCCCTTAAAATTATTGTACGACACCTAATCAACACAAAGCGTAGTCTGTTATGGGACGTAACACCGCATACTTTCATAGACGTATACCAGGTTCTCATGACAGTGACTATGAAGGGGTACTGTCTCCTGGGAGGTGACAGCGTGTATATTTAAAGGTCCTTATAACGGCGACTCTGAGAGTTACTGCTGTCTGGGATGTGGTGCCACTTAAGCAGACTGCACTACTTCGTTCCGAGAAGATGTTTCTCCTCATGCTAACATCCGAGAGCATCTTATGCCTCAAATTACTGAACGTAAATTAAGCATGTCTTAGAGCAAAGCTCTGAAGAGAATATTTGAACTCAAGAGGGATGAAATGGGGTGCGGAATGTTAATAGCTATGAGATTCACACTCTATATATATTCACCATATACAGGCGCTTCAATCAGTAAGAATATGATAGGCTTCGAATATAGAACGCATAGAATCGATGAGAAATTGATTAATTTTAATTGAGTATTTCTACACCCGTCGACACAGCAGGTTTTAAAAAAATTTACAAGTATAGATTTAAAATTAGATCTTAAAATGTTAAAAGCAAGACGTGTTTCGACCCTTATTGGGTCATCACCAGGTGTATTGTTTATGCTTAGGTGGTGAACTTGTTTTTAATATGGATCCATAGTTTGAATATGACTATATAACATGTAATATTATGCTTTGTAACAAAACTCTTGGTATTATCTACTTCTTAGTCCAATTTGATGGTTTTAGATATAATTAGATTACTGTATATCTATGTAAGATTTGAGGCTTTCACGGCGGTGACTATGAAGAAAGCAGTCTTCTGGGATTTGGCGTTCTCACGGTCTCTTCGCTTGCAGATTTCTTATACTTTTTCTTCTACCCTGAAGATGGAGGCGATACGTTTCTCCGAAACGTCGGTTAACACCACATATACACGGTGCCAAATCCCAGAAGACTGCTTTCTTCTTACTGTATATCTAGTTGATTGTTAAATTAAATTAAGATAGAAATTAGAAATAAATATATGAATATTTATTAGTTGTTTCGATTGTATACTGGTTCCTCACTAGGTGGGTATGCTGTTATGAACTCTTGTTATATCCACGTACGTTACCTCCAATTTAATCGGGTTCAAATTTGGGTGTAGTGGCTCTATCGTTGAGACGTTATAAGATGGTACATGGGGAATTCCCGTGTTGTCTTGTAGCTGGTCGTTTGGACCCTGTCGGAGCTGTTGTGTCTCCTACTTGTTATTGTTGATTCATTTTGTTTGGGAAATCTTAAGAAAAGAGACCACTTTTGAAGTTTGAAGCATAGATAGAAGGATAATATGAAGATTATTCTTTGAGCCGGAAGTAATATTTATACCTGTATTTAATGACTACCTCATGAATACGTAAGGGGAAATTGAGGTATAGCTCCACCATTCGTGACCTTTGTACTAGATAAAGGTGAGTGATCAGCTTCACGCTTCGGCCACTTACCTTGCAAGGGAGAAATCCCCTATTCTCTTTATATGCGAGTCTGGGTGAACCTCAGAATCAGTCTGGACGCTAAAATAAACATCTTTTGCCCCTGCCGGTAATCGAAACGGGAATCCTCCGTCGTCCAGCCCATAATGTAGGTGCTATACCGACTGCTTTAGTAGAGAGAATATGACGTTCTTGAAGTGGTTCACATTTCTCTGCATAGGAGCGGAGACGTGCGCTGCTGAACTCAGCAGTGAACTTTCGTTGGTCATGAGAACATAATATCCTTTGACCAGCTGAGCGACTGTTAGATGTATTGCTGCAGGAGGCGGATGTGGGTGTATTGTGTTGGCGACAAATGATCTTGCTGTCTGTGCGCCCTCCCTAAGACCGCCTGTGCTGTCCCACATGTGTTACTTACGCTGTCGTGGGCTTATGCTAACTGATACTCGTACATGTGACTGCTACGCTTGTTGTCTGTACTTTATATACAGAGCATGAACTACAGTCACTTTCAGGTATTGTTCTTTGGGCTCACATTTCTCAGTTTTGTATCCAATTTAAATAATTTACTAAAAAGCTAAAATTTTCCCTGTGCTTAACTAATTAAGTACTAAACAGTTAAGGCGTATGAGGGGTTGTATTTTCCTGACCTCGACTCTAACTGGAGGTAAGTTCTTGGCTTCAGGCCCTGGCCACTTTACTCCAGGGGAAAGAGCTGTCTGTACCCATTAGGTAGGAGGCTGGTTGGGTTCCAGAGCCGATATGGACAAAGTGGAGAAGAGAAAATTCTTGACTCTACCGGTACTCTTAACTCAGAACCTTTGGTCGTCCTGCGCGTAGCCAGTCCCTATACCGACTACGCTACCCCGGCTCGCAAAAACATATGTAAACTACAAGCATGTCATGAATTAGATAACCAAGGCCGCGTCATAGCTCCAGCGGTCTGAGTCGACCCCACCACCGAGGCGGCCCGGGTTCCATCCCGGGTCTGGTCAAGTGGGATTTGTGGTGGACGGAGTGGCGTTGGGGCGGGATTTCTCCGAGTACTTCGGCTTACCCTGCCAATCTTCATTCCATCAAATTCTCTATCATCATAATCACCAGGGGCAGGCTGCAATAGGTCAATCAGTGGCCGCCGTGCCGAGTGGACCCAGTTGGACTCCACCCCCCACTAAGCGAATTACATATGTAACTGCATGGAACATAGTCATTGTTGACAAACCAACAGACGTTGAGCTAGTATGAGAGTTCCCAGTATTGCACAAAAGCAATAAAATCATTGCCGTGTTCACAAAAGTCCGCCACTGGTCCCTATTCTGAGCCAGTTTATCCATTGTACACAATCATTTCCTAGTTTTTAAGATCCATTTTAATAATATGATCACCTAATTAATTGGTTTTTTGAGTGATGATTTCTCTCAGATTCTCATTTCAAAATCGGGTACACAGTTCTCTTCTGCCCTATGTGTTCTACATGCCCCGTCCATCTAACACTCCTCGATTTGATCATCCAAATAATGATTTATGATATGTAAAATTTATGAGGCTCGTCACTGAGTAACTTTCTTCATCTTCCCTTTACTGAATACCTCTTGCATCCCGATATTTTTCTCAGAACTCTGTTCTCAAATTCCCTCAGTCTGTGTTCTTATCCCTTTAAAGCCTAGTGGTTACTGTACCTGCCAACAGCTTTAACATACTGAAGCTCTGAATTCTGCCCACGCAGTGTATTTATATGCTTCGTGTGGTTGTCACAGTAAACAGTGACTGTTTCCCTAAACAGCATTAACCTGTTGGGCTTTGTAGCGGAGACGTAATGTGTTTCCTGTGAGGTACGAGTCATATTTACATAAATTATTTAAAATAAATTCACTCTTTAAAGAAACAATGTGGGGAATCAAATTTTAACCCATTCAACAAGTCAGTATAGAGACGGGCTACAGGCTGGAAGGCCGGGGTTTGTTTCCCAGTAGGGGCAAGGAATTCTTTCTACTCCACAGAGTTCCTGGGGTTCACCCAGCCTCCTATCTAACGGTTACTGGGGTTCGTTGCCAGGTGGTAATGCGGAAGTGAAGCTAACCACACGCCTGCATTTAGCGCCGAGGTCAAGAAAGATGGAGCTATACCTCCACTCCACCATTTATATTCATTGTGTAATGCTTAATTAAATAAACGCAGGGACAACTTTACCTGCTTTCTAAACAACAAGAGAAATTATAGTTTTGTATGTTTTCATAACGGGAATTTTTCCATTCATCGTTAACCTCTCCATAAGGTGAGCAATTTTTGAACCCTTTCTGTTTTCAATGTCTCTTCATCAGTCGTCCTGTTTCTTTTGGCAATCGAAATGCACATCGTTGTCGTTCTTTCGGTTTGTCTGGCTAGCTCGGTTCTTCCTTCTTTCAAGTCTAAATGTTCGTCTCTGCATTTTCGGGCTTTTGTCGTTTATTTCATTCCCTCCTAGGAGCAGTTCAGGCATCCACGTATTGCAGCTGTTAGGCTTTATCTGCGGCAAATTATTTTGACTTCGTTCTATGTTTTCCTTCTTTTAGAATATCCTCCTGAATTGCTGTCTTCCACACCCTTCTTTGTTTTCTGCTTCGACCCCCTTGAGTATTGGAATCCTGTTCGTCCCTTTTTACTGACTCTTTTCTTCTTTAGTTTATGTCCAACACATTCCCACATTCTGCTTTGAATTCCCAACATAATTTCTTCCTGTCTGTTTTGCTCCAAAGCTCGTGGTTGGAGGTAATTTCCATCCATCCTGTGTGTAGAAATCTCATCAAATAGCTTTTGAAAAATGCTCTTAGTTGAGACAGAGGTAAAGTTGTCTCTCTGCTTAACTAAGCACAAAACCATGAAAACTGTCAGAAGGTGTAGGCACAGCTGCAGGCTGGATGGGCTCCAGATTAGGTCTGGACGCTATGGAGAAAATTTTTGCCCCTGCCAGGAATCGAACCCCAGCCGTCCTGCTCGTAACCCGTCGCTATACTGACTAAGTTCTAAAACGGA